TTCCTCGGTTGTCCAGTCAATTCTTTCTTATTGTATTATTATTTGGTTCTCTCATATCACCGCAGACAGTAAATGTCAATTATTGAGAATTGTAAATAAGACTGGAAGAGTGATTGGAGCCGACGTTAAGTCCTTGGAAGATATTTTTAATGATTTTTTACTTAAGAAATTTAATTCAATTATGCAAGATTCATCCCATCCATTATTTTCAGACATTATCATAAATAGATCGGGAAGGGTTAGACATAAACAAAACAAAATATCCACAAACCGTTTTAAAAATTTAGCATTGTACATCGCTTGTAATCTATTTAATTAAAATTCAGAAGATAACTGCACAGGACTCAATTTTTTATTTTTTTAAGAAATCTTTATTTAACACTCTATATGTTTATGAACGATTCCATGTCATGTACAACAAATATCTCAGAATGTATTATTTTGACAATAAAGTTGACTTGTATCTTGTATCTTGTATATATATATATATATATAATTATATGTATATAGGTGTATATATATATATTATGTATATATAGATATATATGACTACAACATGACTACGTGGGCTCGTCCTCTGGTCATAATATATATACGCATACCTAGAGTCTACTGCACTGTACTCTAATGACCACAGATTATTGAACTACCTGTTGGCATTTAACTGCACAGGTCTTTCCCGAGATATGAGAATTTTAACGTACTTCATCAAAAATCTCTCCAAGAAAGTGGCGTTATAAAAAATGGAACATGTACATAATAAACTAAATATTATTGCGTGTGCCTTAAAATAAATTTTAATACAAAGTTTAAGGGAAAAAAGTAAACGTACATACCAGTTTCTTGGCTATAGACAGTAATTGGAAAAAAGAGATAATTTACCGCAAATATCCACATGTTAATTACATACATCTTGTTGTGGCCACAAGACATGTTGGTAGAAGTGAGTATGATTATTGCAGCATTTTATTTTATTGAATAGTGCTGTCACTATAAATATTGAATACAATAGAAAATCGATGCATCAAAGCGTACATTTAGATGGTCGAAAATAATAATAATTATTATAATAGGTTCTTATATCTTGTTCATTTATTATGTTCATTGTGTGAAACAATAAAACTGAAACTGAAAAACTAAAATGGCACTACACAGACATAAAATTGTGAATATATATATATTTTTTTATCTTGTAATAAATTACCATTCCCCTTTTTTACTTTAACATATTTAATACATAGAACAATCTAAAATAACATTTAATTGATCAAATAAATAGTGTAAACCACATTGGTAATTATAGGAACACATGACACCATGTAGAATCCAAGAGTACTATTTAGAAGTTTCTGGAATCTTGGATACTATAGAGACAAATAAGTCTAATTGGTTAATTATGATGTAAGGTAACCAATGAGGAACTTAGGCAATATAGAATGCTCTGGAGTTGTACAGCTATGTTATATAAGCTGATAGTTTTATCTTTCTGGAGCCCTTTTTGAAACACATGTTAATGTGAATGTTGTTATGTTATTTTGAGACCGGATTTTTGTTGGAGTTTATACAGATTAAAAGTTTATTTTTTAGTTGTGTTACAACTTTGTGAGCTGTGTTATATATTTTATATTTCAAAGAGAGATTCCTAGTCATTTCTATACCGCCCGGAAATACGTGAAGTAGGAATTCATGACAATTTTCAGTTAAAAAATATTTTGAAAAATTTAGTTGGGCCCCGGGCCGGAAGCTCCAGGCCGGCAACTTCTCCCCCCCCCCCCTCACTCTTTATTCCACGACTGGATATAATAAATGTCCTACAGTCGATTTCAGACACACATTATGCTGTTGCCCTTGTGGGGCTGAGAAAAGAAAATGTATTATTATGGTACGTCTAGATGGCCGGAAATGGCACTCGCAGACTAAAAATTGTGTATATAATTTTCTTTTAACTCCCATTTTTAATTTTTTTTTTTTTGACAAATTCGGTGGGTCCCGGGCCGAGAGGGGGGGGGGCCTGTCGGCCGACGGGGCCCACTCTCTTTAATCGTTATAATATGATATATGCCCTACAGTCGATTTCAGAGACACATTATGGTGTTATTTATCATGATTTGAAAAAGTTATGATGCAGCCATTTTGAAATTGAAGATGGCTGCCATGAAAATTGTCAAAAATCAATATATAGAGAGACACAACATGATGGTCACTGAAGCCAAAAAAAATCAATATTTTGTTAATTGCTTAATTTTTTCGTAGCCGAAATGGCAATAATTTTGTGTCTAATCACATGTTGTGTCTCTATAATTTTTTTGACCATTTTTAAGGCGGCCATCTTGAGTTTCAACATGGCTGCCATTTTACACTTTCGAAACCTGTCTCATTGGCTTTAGTGACCCTAAAAACATATAGTTAGATACCAGATTTGCCCTTTTTCATTGGATATAAGTGAAGTTATGAGTCAATATCATAATTTTGGCGGCCATTTTGAAAATGGCCGCCAAAAAAATATGTTCTGCCCTTTTTCTGGAGGTTCTCCCTCGCTCAATTTTCTTATTTATACCATAGATTTCCTGGAAACTCAGTGAAACTATCAATACTTAGGCACAAAATGTAGTCTAGAGCTAATATATTTCATTTCCCCACAATGAAACTTTAGGGGCATCATGTGGGCTAAGTGTCCTAACTGAGGTGTGAATCCAGAAATCGAGATATATACTTTTGTGATATTTTGGGTCAAAGGTCAAGGTCACGTGACTTGACTTACATAATTCTCACTAGTCCGGACATCATCGAGTTTCATATCATTGGAAAGAGAATCTTCTTCTCTATCCAACGGTACCAGTAACAAAGTCTTTTTTGGTCATGGTGCTAGGAACAAGGAATCAATGGGTAGGGCCCCTTTGGAGCCCCTAGAATTCGGGGGCCCTGCGGACCGCCGCATGAGAGCGCATAGGCGTTAGAATAGAACTTTAACAAAACGTGCTATAAAGATACTAGCCATAATGTTGATAAAAAATGTCATAATATCTATACACACATCACATATACATACATACACATAAATACATGCATCAATATATTATGAAGATATCCATTGTGACGAAAAGGACAATGATAGCAATAATTGCAGTATATTAAAAATGATGACAAAGGGGTCATCTTTGGGGCAACTATTAGTGAAATTTCGCATTGTATTGTATTGGTAATGATAATGATAATAATAACGATTATTTTACAATGGTGAATTCATCACTTAAGGCATAGGGTACGCAATCGAGCGTTTTTTGTTTGTTTATTTGCTGTTGTTTTACAATTTATTTGGTTTTTCTATTTTTTTACTTTTGCTTGATTTTCGTCGTCTTTTATTTCCAGGCATTGTTTGGGGAGATTTTCTCTGACTCAGCTTGGTCTTTGGATTCATTCTTGTTGTTTTCTTTCTCTTTCACTTGCTTATTAGACCAAGATGATGATTTCATGAAGCTTGTTATCTTCCCTTGTTTCTGTTGGTTTTCATGTATTGGTTCACTTTGCTTTTGATCGCCTTATTCACTCTCCTCACTTTCGCTGGATGTCGATTCATCTTCACTAGTGACCACGCTCTTTTCCTCTACTACACGTTCCCATATTTCTTGAATGAGCTTTTCGCTAGAGTCATCTTGCAACAGTTTTTCTGCGCTGCATTGGTCCCTTCGATGACCTTCTAATCCACAGGCATGGCAAACGAGGTGGTTTGTACATGTTTTAGCATTATGTCCGTACTTTAAACATTTCGAGCACTTCACCCGCTCATGTGAAAATTTCTGGTTTTTAAGTTTAAGATATTTACAAACCTTGGTAATGGTGTTTTAAGGGTCTCCGCGTAAAGCACCCTGTAGTGTCTGGATTACAAGACTAGCATACCTCGTGTGTTGTTAAATCAGGACTGGTGGGTGAATAAACAATGAATGGCTATTGTAGAGCTGGAATATTGTTTATTGTGTCATTTAATTGTGTTTGTTTGAATACGATAGCAACACACAACATTGGCGACGAGGCTTTCGAACCAACTGTGAGTTTGAATAGTATAACTTTTCGATAGTTTTGTTTTAATACTGTACTGCTTTAGGATGAGCGCTGTGAACATTGAGGTCACTGGAGTCGCTGCGCACGATCCACATGACGTCCATGCTTCGTATGCTACCGGTAAAGGAGTGGTAAACAAAAAGCAAAATAAAGCTTTATTATTACATTTTGCTGGATTAGCTGTACAGGACATTGTGTAACAGAGCAGAATGGAACAGATGAGTATGATGTTGTTGTGAAAACATTAAATAAACAATTTGTAATGAAAACCAACTTACCGTCACAAAATGACGATGAAACTATTAACCACCAGTTTATTAACAGATTGAGACAGCAGGCTGCACGATGTGATTTTGATGCTGATCAGATTGATGAATTAATTAGAGACCATGTGATCGAGAAATGCAAATCGAATAAACTGAGAATAAAATTACTGGAAAAGGGGAACACTTTGAAATTAGCAAATTTAAAAACAATAGCTAGCACATTCGAAATGAGTGAACAACAATCAAAGGAAATGTCAGAAGGAGTTGCAGTGGAAACACCAAGTGTAAATGCAGTGAGAAATGAGAGATTTTCAAGGTCAAGTATGAATAGCAGAAGCAAGACGGCTGGAAATTCGAATGGTAACAGATCAAGTAGGCCAAAGGTCAGTGATAGTTATCAAGGTACATGGAAGTGTTTTCACTGCGGGAAAGAAGGACATTTTGGTAGGGATAAATGTTGTCCTGCGAGAGGCAAGCAATGTACTAAATGTAAATTACCTGGACATTTTGCTGTTTCTTGCAAAACTAAAGTAGGTAGAGACAGAAAGGTAAAGAGACGTGGTGGTGGTATTCGTAATGTTCAAAGTGAAAATGAAGATGATTATGCTTTTGGTATACGTGATGATATTATGCATGTAAATTCTAAAGCCATGTATGGATGTACATAAGGTAGAAATGATTATTGATAGTGGTGCTACAGCAAATATCATAGATGAAGATTTATGGCAACAGTTAAAATGTAAGCAAATTAAGTGTAAATCTGAGTTGACAAACAGAAAGTTATATGCATATGGGTCAACAAAACCGTTAGAATTATTAGGGAAATTTACCACAAATGTTTCGATTTTTAAAGATGCAGGTAACAATAGTTCTCCCAAAATAACAGCAGAAGTATATGTGCTGAAAGGGAAAGCTCCTGCTTTGTTGGCATATGATACGGCAATGAAGATGGGAGTGCTAAATATCGGCATCCCACAAGGAATAAATAGTGTACAAGATAAGTATACACAGGATTACAAGTTACATTTATTTATTGATGAACAGGTAACGCCAGTTGCTCAGAATATGTATAGAGTACCCTTTAGTCTTAGAGATAAAGTGAGTGACAAATTAGATTTGAATTATGGCTCTCATCAAATTGAATTAGATGAGCAATCACGAAACATCACAACATTCATAACAAGTAAGGGTCTTTATCGTTACAAAAGGTTGATGTTTGGGATAAATGCTGCTCCAGAAAAGTACTAAAGAGTGATTAGTCAGACGTTGAGTGGTGTGACGGTGTAGCCATCATATCAGATGACATTGTTGTACATGGAAGAACACAGGCTGAACATGATGAGAGACTTAGTGTAGTGCTTGAGAAATTCAAAGAGAAAAAATTGACCCTCAACAAGGACAAGCGTCAATTTTCTGTACCACAGATTACATTTATGGGTCAAACTTTGTCAGCAAAAGGAATTAAGCCTACAAGTGGGAGAGTCAGAGCATTAGCAGAATCAAAAAGACCAACAACAACTGCAGGAATAAAAAGCTTCTTAGGTCTAGTAAACCGCGATACATTCCAAATTTAGCTACAGTTGCAGAACCCTTAAGACGATTAGTGCGAAAAGATTCTAAATTCCATTGGGGAGCTGAACAAGAAAATAGATATGTAAAACTTACAGACTGCTTAACTAATGAAACATGTTTAGGCTATTTCAGGTTGAATGCAGAAAGTACTCAATTGGTGACAGACGCAAGCAATGTAGGCATTGGTGGAGTTTTACTTCAGAAACATGATGGTGAAACCAGAGTTATAAGTTATGCCAGCCGGACCCTATCCGATGCTGAAAAGAAATATTCAACAACGGAAAAAGAGGCTTTAGCAGTGGTGTGGGCTATGGAGAGGTTTCATGTTTATTTATATGGACTTGATTTTGACCTAATTACCGACCATAAAACACTAGAAGGCCGGTATGGACTAAAGTCCAGACCAAATGCACGCATTGAAAGGTGGGTGATGAGACTTATGTCTTATTCTTATACAGTAAAGTATGTACCTGGCAAAAATAGCATTGCTGATATTTTATCGAGACTACCAATAGAAACTGATGACCAACAAAATAATGACAGTGATGATACAGAGATGTATATTCGATTGGTCGCATCAAATGCAACGCCATGTGCGCTATCATCACGTGAGGTTGAAGAGGCATCCAAAGATGATCCAGAATTGAGCAAGGTGAGAGATAGTGTATAAAGACAAACACATGGGATAAGGACTTGATTCAGTATACTGCCATACAACAGGAACTTGCATGTCGTGGGTATTTAGTTCTTCGAAACACAAGGATTGTTATTCCATCAAAATATAGATTACAGTGCATTGAATTAGGACATCAAGGTCATTTAGGAATAGTGAAGACCAAACAAAGGCTCAGAACCAAGGTTTGGTGACCTGGAATGGCGAAAGATGTAGAAAACTATGTTAAAACATGTCATGGGTGTCAGATAACAAGTTCGATGCCAGCACCAGAACCATTGAAACCAACACAACTACCAACAGGACCATGGCAAGACATTTCAGTTGACCTGCTGGGACCATTTCCATCGAATGAAAATGTGCTAGTTGTGGTAGATTATTATAGCCGTTATTATGAAATTAACATAATGAAGAAGATTACAAGCGAGAAAATCATAGACGCCCTAGAGAATATATTTCTTCAACATGGCTTACCACAATCAATTACCTCAGATAATGGTGCGCAGTTTGTTTCTGATGAGTTTGAGACCTATCTGAAAGAGAATGGAATCGAACATAGACGCGTCACACCATTACATCCTGCTGCAAATGGAGAGGTGGAGCGACAGAACAGATCTATAATGAAACGAATTCGCATTGCGCAAGCTGAAGGAAAAGACTGGAAGAAAGAATTACGTGTGTATTTATTTGCATACCGTACAACCCCACACAGTGTTACTGGACAGACCCCAGCGGAAATGATGTGGAATAGAAAATTTCGAACAAAATTACCAGAATTGGAGGATAATACTGTACATGATGAAGATGTTTCAGATCGCGACGCTGTATCAAAATTAAAAAAACAAATTAGACATTGATGAGAAAAGAGGTGCGAAAGCGAGAGAGATGTGTGAAGGAGATAATGTTTTAGTTAAAAAGACACAGGGAGACAAAATGAGTACACCATATCACACAGAACCATTCAAAGTAATAGAGAAAAGGGGAAATAGTGCAGTGGTTCAGTCACCACAAGGTATAAGATAGTACTGATTCACCCGGCCCCTGTCGTGGACTGTTTTATGGGAACTGGGCCCTCTGGAAAAACAGTAATTTATTACTGAAGAGGAAACCCAGTATAAAGAACAAATAAATAAAAATAAAATAAATAAATAAAGAAATAAAAGAAATTCGACACGTGTTCAATCTTATAATGAAAGAGTAGACGAAGAAAATGGTAACAAAATACCAAATAATAATCTGGATCAAATGGATATAGTCCACCAGAAATACGGATTTGAAGCACCGAAGTTGGACATAATTGCAACAAAACGTTTTTTTATGAATATATATAGTTAAATTTTATATCTACAACATACAAAAAGTTTACCAAAATATACCCACGGCAAAGGTGATTTTTACAGCAAAGAAAACTGAACTATTTCACTGGTCTTATACGCCCTGCCTAGGATGTGTGTGCTGTGCCTTGGTTACGAAGCGCTTTAATTTGATTTGCCGCTGACGCTTTTGATTGGTTAACATACCTTCAGCAGTCTGCGCGTACTCATTTACGCAACACACGTACGTACGTACGCAAGTACGCAAGTTCGTACGTAGGTCACGTCCCAGAATGTAAACACGGAAATTGTTAGATATTATAGTAACCTCTGTAATATTTAATTTCAGGGTAGATGGATCTACAAAAATAATTCAATTTTAATTTTAAATACAATGATAGGTACGATTAATTGACAAATAGTGAGGCCTGCACAGTGTGTGCCGACCCAGCTGAGACTCAGGAGTCGGAAAAAAAGTATGTGATCTTATATCAATAGGCCCTATATAGGAATAGGCCTATTATTATATTTTTTTACCTAAAAACACCAATTAAATTTTATAGCTAATACAATAAACCAAATTTATTTGCAAATAGTGTAAAATAATTGTTGATATTTTAAAAAGTATAATAATGACTGATAATTTTTTTTCTCTTTTGTGGGGTCGTCCCACTTTTATTCATAAGTTCAGCATACACAGTATAATTTGTAAAGAGATGTTCAATATAGCTTCTTAAAATATCTTTAACAATTTTTTTTTAATTTTTTTTTTTTTTACTTTTACTTGAAATTTATGCACATCGGTCAAGGTGTACAATTACCATGCCATTTTTTTCTATTTGTTTTCTGTGTTTTCTGTCATTTTAATAAAGGATATAATAAAAGGTCAAGCTTTTGTTTAAGCCTATTTTTTTAAAGTTTGTTCGCTTGTGTTTATAAACACTACAGTGTATATACAATATTTATAGGCTACATTATTTTTTCTAAATAGTTTCCCTTCAGACTATAATATGGTGAAATTGTTTTCACCAAGTTTAACCAATATAATATTTTTTTTATTTTGTTATGGTCAATCATTGACCATTTCTTTTTTGCTTTTTCATTGTTAATTAAGAAATCACAGCTTAATAAACTCTTTAATTCCAATAAAAACATAACCCAAGGACATTGTTTCCCAAGTCCGAGTCTGTACTTAACTTTACTTTTATAGATACAGAATGTAAAAATAGATAGAATTTAATTTGTTCGTTCAGCATAGCATCCTTGGACAATTTTATTCTTTATTTATTATATAATTGATTTATTTGAAATAGGCCTACTATTCTCTTCATATAAAAAAAATGTTGGAAATCACGAAATTCAGGATTTGGTGCCGAATTACTGTATAATGCCTGTATCATGCCTTGTCTTCTGGTAAATAGCATGGACGGGGGTGACAGGCGACACGTACCCCAACTATTTTAAGGGGGTGGTCCCCATCACGTTCCTAAGGAAGTCAAGAATATACCTGGAAATTGTAGAATTGAACTGCATAAATGACCAGATTTTAACGAAAGACCACTTTACAGGCAGATATTTAACATCTTATTTTATAACAAGATACCGGTGTTTTCTGTCCACAAACATCTGAATTAACTGTAATACATGACTCGAGTGCGTGTCTCTATTATACAAGTATGATAAATAGTGTGTAAAGATAAATTGGTTTTCGGCTCATGAAGTAGGTAAATT